AAATAAATAAATAAATAAATAAATAAATATTTTAAAAACCTGCCCTTTTAACTAAAAATACATAATTTCAGTTTTATTTCTCAAAGATAATTAGTTGTTCAAGGGGGGTTCACTTTGACATGTCCACAAATATATGCAATGTACCTTGGTCAAACTCAACCATTCTGTCATTATCCTCCACCTCATTTCCCAAATCAACCTCAACAGGCTTCATTGTTTCATTTTCACACATATGCATAAAGCATTTTGATAGTCACCTTGATAATTTAATTTTTAAATTTAATGCTCTTTACCTTGTTGATTAATAAGTAAAAATATAAGAAGGCCATTTAGTTTAAAAAGTGCATGTGTATTCAATGTTTAAGATGGTCAATAAAATTGGTTTAGTTATAATGATCCAATATTATCATATATTCCATTATGATAAATGCCTGTGCTTATTTAAAAGAAAATGAAGAATCCTGTGAAATAGAAATACTATATTCTAAACTGCTAAAAGATTATATTAACTTTTCCAATTTAACCTATTAATCTAAAATCAGGGTTGTAAAATTATTTTAAAAAGATACAATTTAAGGGGCTGAGAAGGTGGCTCAGTGGTAGAGCGCTTGCCTTGCATGCATGAGGCCCTGGGTTCGATTCCTCAGCACCACATAAGCAAAAAGAAAAAAGCCAGAAGAGGCATTGTGACTCAAGTGGTAGAGTGCTAGCCTTGAGCTGAAGAGCTGAGGGACAGCGCCCAGGCCCAGAGTTCAGGCCCCACGACCAAAAAAAAAAGATACAATTTAAATACTCTACCACAGAACAGACCAAAAAAAAAAAAAGATAGAATTTAAATACTCTACCACAGAACAAAAGAAGATTAAGAAAAAAAGAAAATATCAAAATAGGAGATTTTGGTATAGAAGTAAATATAATAATAAAATAGAATAGACTATATGGATCAGGGAAAAATTTACAAGACTGGGGAGGACAGCAAGATATTTTTAGGTATATAAATAAATCACAATAATTTATTTAAGAAGAAAAGGAAATGAATGTATTTGGGGGGCACATATGGGCTAACAGTTTTCTTTTTATTAGTAAATATAAAGTGGACCAACATAACCACCAACAATCCCGTTCCTTCACTAGGTTAAAACAGATGATTTCCATACTAGTTTTACACACATTTTCACTACCTATACAAATGGGTTAACTTAAAATATTTTAGTTGGTCTCACCATAGTTAAAAAACCCTTTAGTTTATAAAAATTCAAACCATAATTTGGACAAATTTAAAACCTGTAATTAAGTGAGGCTTCTTTCTTTACTTATTTTTTTCATAATTGTGAAAAGAGGCAATATTTACAATAAAAGATAAAACCTAATGTAGGCCACTCATTTCCATTCTAGGATGTAAATGTTGCTACTTTTTTTTTTCAAGTGATACTTCAATCATTTTTATTACTTACCTGTAGAGATCTCTTATAGACAAGAGTCCTTGTAAGCTGCCTGTGACAATGTGTTCTCCAATTATACATATATCTGATATCTGTTCTTTCAGGACTTGAGACCCTAAATACTTGCCGTTTATAGAAAACAGGTGCAGTGCATTTTTATCCTGAAAAGAATTGTAAAGAAAATGTAAGAATCTCAAAGGCTAAGTTTTTATATTGTCAGTTAAAGCTATGACTACAACAAAATGATTAAAACTTAGGAGTAAAAATATGGCTGTATTTAAAGAGAAAATGTATAGACAATGTAAAAGCAATTTTAAACCATACTTTCAAGATAAATTTCACCTCTCAAAGAATTAAACTCAAAGCTTTAGTCCAAAAATGCTTTACCATTTGAGACAAATATCCACTTCTGGCTTTTTGCTGGTTAACTGGAGATAAGAGTTTCACAGACTTCACTGCTAGAGCTGTCTTTAAGCTGAGATCCTCATATCTCAACCTCTTCAGTAGCTAAGATTAGAAGCATGAGCCGCCAGCACCATATTTTACACTCTTAAAAAGATTGCCAGGTGCTAGTGGTTCATGCCTACAATCCTAACAACTCAGAAACCTGAAATCTGAGAATCACTATTCAAAGCCAGGTCAGGCAGGAAAGTCTGAGGGACTCTTACCTTCAACTAACCACCAAAAAACCAAAAGTGGGGCAGTGGCTCAGTGGTAGAGCCATGAGCAAAAAAGCTCAGAGACAGTATTCAGTCTGAGTTCAACCCCAGGACACACAAACACACACACACAGGAAAGTTTATTACTGAAAGGAAATAAACTTAGCAACTTCAGGGCTTATTTATTTATATCTTGCCTGTACAAAAAGAATTAATGTTAGCTATCATTTGCATTTAAGCTTATCAAGTTCTATAAAAATCAGAAATTATTATTATTTTTTGTTGTTGGTCATGGGACTTGAACTCTGGGTCTGGGTGCTATCCCTCAGCTCTTCAGCTCAAGGCTAGTGCTCTACCACTTGAGCCACAGCACCACTTCCCAGAAATTATTTAAGTCATATATTATATAGGCAATAGAAAAGGTTAAAATAAAATACAAATAAGGGGAAAAGATTATGGTAGAGCTCTATGTAATAGTAAGAAATTAATAACTGAATGATGAAAGGTAAAAGCACCTCTTTTAAACTATGGTGTTCCTTCCTTACTCAACCTGCCTCATATAAAATGTGCTGAGGGAAAGCCATGCTATTGATTGTCTACACCTACTGTATTCCAGTGTTATACCTTGAGGGTGGTCTTTTCTTCAATGCTGGAGTAGATAACGATATGTCCTTCCCAAGATAAAGCCAAATTGGGAATGGTCAGGATTAGGGAACTCTCACAAGGTGGTCGTAAAGTCCGCATGTACTGACCTTTCTGAATGGTATGTATAATCACAGTGCCATCCTACACACAGAAAATTTGGGAAATTAAAAACAAAAAAGAGAAAATGGTAGGATTTTAAAAAGTAGCAAAATACAGGTGGACCCATTGCAACAATGAGATGTACAAGTTGTTATGTGGAGAAAACAAACTTTACAACTTTGGTGGGGGGGGAAGGGGGAGAGGAAGGGGGGTACAGGGGGGAGGATGGGAAGGGGAAACAAAGGAGGAGGCTACAATGCTTGATAAGAAATGTACTCATTATCTTGCCCAAGTAATTGTAACCCCTCTGTACAGTATTTTCACAATAAAAAAGAATAAATAAATAAATAAA